CTGCGAAGCCTTGCCCCCAGCGTGGTAACACGCGAGTTGCGAAAGCTACACTTACGCTGGTTCCACGCGAAGGAGCCTAAGACGAGACTCATCTTAAGCAAAGTAGGTCGGAACAGTGTCAGACTCAACCTCATTGAGGGTGTCTGCGACACATGCCGAGAATGTAGAGCTCGGAGCAAACCTGGACACACGGTTATGCCCTCTACTGCATTACCCGGTAACTTCAGTGAGGAAGTGGAACGTGATGCTCTACAATCAAGAACGCAATATATTTCACATGATCGGTCGATGTATACGATATGCTATTAAGATTGAAGTACCAGACAAAGCTATGACCACTATCTTGGATGCATATCAGCAGTGCCGGTTGCAGTTTGGACTGGCCAAGGCATTTCACTCCGATGGAGAAGGTGCCCTTAACAACGACTTCGCGAAAGCAGTCCTCAAGGCAAAGGGCACTGATCTTAGAATACGTGCGCGTGGACATCCCGCGACAACGATGAGGCCAGAAATGGCATCCTACGTCATTTACTTCACGCCATGGAGGCTGAACTCAATAGGTTAGACATACCTCTTCTTGTTCGCCGCCAACGCATTCACTCTCTTAGAACGGAGTGTCTCCATGCAGCGCTGTATTTGGACGGCAACCATCAATGCTCCCTGACCTCCCTGTTCTGGGCCACGAGCAGCCGACGGAAACATCATATCATTCTCGTGAACAGACGGTACGCAGGGTATGTATTGAAGCTATCACACAGGCCACGGCAGTAGCTAAGACCAGCCGTGCATTACGCACTAAGACGAGAATTACCGGTCAGCACTATTATGACGTAGGGGACTTGGTCGACTACCGTCGCCTTACGACCACGAAGGATGAATGGGGAGGCTGGAACGGCCCGTTCCCAGTCGTAAGGAATGATCCCGAAAGGGGTCAGGTCATCATCCGATCAGGCAATCGAGATGCTCAAGTACAATACGGCGACGCAAGACATTCGCTATACATTGAAGCACTCATAGCCCGATAGATTGGCTCCGCCAACACTGCACTACGCACAGCGTTGACATTCGTAGCCAGCCTATCAGCGGCTATGTGGCTATGTCAGCCTATCAGCGGGGACCTGCTTTGAAATTTAGCTATGTGCCGACCAAGAAAAATACGCTTCAGATGACGACTGCAAGTCGTCTATCCCAAAGGTACATTTGGCCGGACAATATCTTAACATAAACTTCTTTCGCATTGAGAATGTAGTTTCAGTCAGATTAGCCAAGAGTAGCCATGAGCTACGTCCGGTTACTTATGCCGACAGCTGCACATTGGTCAATTGCGACAACGACGTGAATCCAGGATTCCATTTTATCAAGCAGAAGGTACTGCTCTGAATATATGTATATATGATATAGTTGTATCGGCACATTCACGCACCAACCAATGCCTGAAGTCCACTAAACCTCAAGCAGGTTGCGATCAGGACACGTTTAAAATTGCGGGCTTGGCTGATGCGCCGACACGGGAAGGAACCGCAGGAGAAGCTCCAGAAGCCGAACCAGCACATGATGACGGACGGCCCTCTACGTCAGAAGCTGATATTGAGTCGCTTGTTATGGAGGTGTGGTACGCAGATCTGAAAGAGGAAAGAGAACTGTTGGAGGCAACTCCACGAGAGGACCTCTTTACCATAGCCACACGCATGGTTCCGCATCAGAGCGCGCTGGTCCCTTGCCGAAGTGGGGGCACCTGCCGAAGCGGGGACGCACTCACGACTCCGATGCCGAGGAGACGTACTACGCCCCCTTGTGCACCATGGTCGAAGACGACAGCTACGGACTCGACTCAGACGAAAATGGTCGATGCGATGAATAATGCTTTACGACAGAAATGTCGAAGGTAGTCTTGTCCGAGCAGCAACACATGATATTAGATGCCGACTGGGTAACCACTATGCGAGCATATGTTACCGCCGTTGCAAAGCGAGCCGTGGTCGTCAAGGAAGACGACCACCTAGCTAGAGCTGGCAGTCAGGCGAATCCCGTTAAAGCGTCGAAGGCCCTCTTCACTGAGACAACGCATGTTTTAAGATGCAGGAGATAGCCACAGCGTCGAACATCATGACTTCGAGAAACGTGTGCACATGGAAATTCGTGAAGGACGAAAAGGGCCAGATGGAACGTACCATCCGACTACGCTTGGTACTCCGAGGCTTCATAGACCTTGCAGCTTTCGGCGTAGAAACATGTTCGGGAACAGCAAGAAGGCCAAGCCAGAGGTTACTCGCTAGCACGGCCGCGTGCAAGAAGCAGTAGACCATTGCTTCCCTCGACATCAACATGGCCTTCCTGAAAGGGTTTGACCTATCAGGAACTTGCTGAGGCTACTGGTGACATGGAGCGTGTGGTGTGCTTTACTTTGCCGCCTAGATCGGCCACTACGCTCCGTGCTCTTCCAGGACTCGAGAGCTACGACGAGTCAAAGCACTGCCTGCAGTGCTTGAAACCGGGCACAGGAACTAAGGGCGCTCCACGGGCTTTCGCACTTGAGCTCAGAAGAGCCACTAGAGGATTTGGCCTCCGACCCACGTCTTACGACGAGGAGTTCGAGACGAGCGGCCACTTGTTCACTCCCAAGCATGTTGATGACATTCATATGGCTGGTACTGAGGACACCAGTGAAAAATATGTCAGCTGCGTTGAGGATATTTTCGGTAAGTGTAGGCTCAACAAGCACACATATACTAACTGTGCTGTGAGATACACTGAGGACGAGGACGGCAATGCTACCTTGGATCAAGATGGATCTATTCAACAGCTTTGTCCTATACAACATCCCGAACTAACCGGCGCTGACGCTGACGTTCAAGCAACCGAGATGGCGGCAGGCATGTTCGTCAGTCTCAGGTGTACGCTGGCATGCGCACTGATTACCCAGGTGTGGTTAATGGTTTATATTGTATCTCTACAGCGCGCCCAAGAACCGACCAACATTCAAGTGCGACGATTGAACGCGATCACCAGAAAGTTACAAGCCCGCCCGAAAAAATCGTCTACCAGGCGATGCACCCCACGAGCGAGGTCGACTTACATAGCGACTTAGGAGATCGACGCCTGAGTGGAGACGCCGACGACGACGTCAAAGGCTATGGTACTCGCGGGGCAAGCCTACTGCGACGTGGAAACACATCTGGTAAGCCTGTCGTTCACTTGATTGATGCGCACTGCAAGTCTCACCGCTTGCAGGTCCGCTCGAGCTAGCCAGCAGAGACACTAGCAACGGCCCATGCATCGGAGGACTGTTATCCCACGATTGTGACTCTGCGCGAGCTCCACGCGGGGCCGCTCACGCCCACTCAGATGAAAGATATACTTGAATTGGGTGGCCTGAGCATCAAGGTCACTTTGATCACCGATGCTGAGTTTGTGTATAAGTCCTTGGCAAGCAAACCCTTGCAGAAGCCGACTGGCCGCACCCTTGTAGGACACATCAGTTGGATGCGACAGATGATGGAGCGTGGAATCGCGCACAGCATTCAGCGGTGCGATACCCGCGATATGACTGCGGATGGCCACACCAAGGGGGGCATCGGCACAGAAATGTTCCTACAAGTCCCGGGAGGTATACAGACCTTCAAACATGACCTGCAGAGACATACTCCATATCGTGCCGGCCAGACATCAAGTTCCGACGCCGCCTGATAAGTATGTCAAACATATGCGAGGCAACTTGCTGGCGGGTCCACCTTCCTTTGGGCCCGCTTCCTTTCCTGTCCTTGTGTAGGTCAGCTGCTGAGCCTGCTGTATAGGGGCGTCGGGCTCCCGCTTCGCCCCCCCCCCCCCCCCCGACTCTAAACCGAACTGGGGGGCGCAAGGAGTGGAAGCGAGCGCGCGCCCGCGGCCGCGTTGGCTCGAGCGGCCGGCCGCCCAGATTTGACTGTGCCTCGCCGCGAGGCACGCGATCGCTATCGATACCAAAAGGATCTTCCTATTGCTTGAGATGGCATCTCCTCTCATACTGGGCCTATCGTTACTACGGTACAACAGAGTGGGAGCTTGGCTTCGCCTGAGGCGAAGCTGTTGGCTGGGCTCTCCAGCCCCTTCAAACTCAAAGCCCTTGCATCTTTATCGCGCATCCTGATTATACGGGCTGGCTGTAGACCAGTGCGTGCGTGCGTGCGGTTGTTGACCCAGTGAGCTCCCTCCACAGCACGCAGCCCGTGCTGGCCCTCTCTCTACGCTGGTTGCGACGTGCTGGAGGGCTTCGGTGGGCAATCTCCCGTTGGTGTTAACACACGTTCTCAGGATCATCGGCCACGCTGTGGGCGCCCCTTACCCCCCTTGACAACGCAGCGACGTCGAAGCGTCTCAGCCTTGCAGCGCCTCGGCCTCGGCGCTCGAGCCCGGAAGCGCGTCGTCTCGCCCCGGTGGAGCCAGGCAGGAGCAGCAGCGCGCAGTGCAGTGCTTCTCGGGGACCACCAGACGGTGTGGTGACCACGCCGCGCGGTGAGTCATTGGGGATTCGGGAGTCGGGGTCGTTCTCCGAGGACGTCTCGATCGACCAGGGCCTCCCGAGGTCCCAAGTCCATGTGGTGACAGACCGCGCAGTGAGGCCTCTCCGGGTTTCGAGGTCACCGCGCGGTCTGTCACCACACGGTTTGGGGACCATCAGAATTCACAAGTTTGGGGCGTTGCGTGATGGGGTGGCGATGACTTGGAGGCGTGAAAAGGTATATCCTTTAGTGCACCTCAGGGGCCCTGCAAGGGGACCCCTGGGTCCCGAAACGGGCTCGAAACGTACACGTTTGCCCCCCCCCTTCCCATTTCACCGTTTTCCCATGGAGCAACGCCCAAGCTCGGTGGCTCCAGCTTCCCGCCCGCATCGCCCCCTCCTCCACGCCGGGGGCGCGACGGAGCTCGTGAGCCCCCTCGGCCCCCTGGCGGGCGCGGGGCGCGACGCTTCTGGCGGCTCCATGGGGTTCCCTGCCGCCGCCCCGCCCCGCAGCCCGGCCGAGGCAACGGGGCCGGGCCGCGCCGCCGCGCTGGCGCCTGGCGGCGACGTCGTAGGCGCTGCGCGCGCGCGGGGGGCCGCCCCTGCTGCGGTTTCGGCCGATGCCGCGGCGGGCCACGGCGGCGTGGAACGATGACGGGTTGGGCGCGTATACGTCCTCTGTGGGCCCCGTGAAAGGAGGGAACGCTAGAGAAGGAGAGAGAGAGAGAGACTGCTTTTTGGAGGTCCCGGCGATCACTCCAGAAGGCCTCCCAAACGGGGTCCGAGTGGATGGGATCAGAGGATGGCGCCGCATCGCCAATGCATCGCCGACGCGTCTCGATGTGGAGCCCGATTTTCTCCGCGCTGGCGTCGCCGATGCACCGCCGACGTCGCCGATGCATCGGCGATATATCGCCGATGCATCGGCGATACATCGCCGATGCGGCGCAATCCTCTGACACCATCTACCTGGACCCCATCTAGGAGGCCTCTAATGACGGCCGTGATCGACCTCTCCTTCCCTTGCTCAGATATGATCGCGCATTTGTTTGACCACCTTTGCAAAACTTCCTACGGATTCTTCGGGGACCTCCTGAGATTTCCGGCGGTCCCCAGCCGTGATGTAATCGGGCGGGACGACTTCAGCCCCCTACTCCTTTTTTGATCACGGCTTGGCTAGCCGAAGCTGACCAGCTTTGGTTTGCTGCTGATCACAGGAGGATCGAGGCTCGAAGGTCATGGCGTTTGTCGAAGAAAGAAACCGGCACAAGCGTGACTTGCTCGGAATTCTGCGCGAATACCGTAAGGGCTTCGCCCCCGTGCCGCCGGCCCCCCTCTCTGAGAATGGGACTTGCCAGAGCTGTGTTGGGATGGAAGGTTTATGGCTTCAGTGGCGCGGACATCAACTAATTTAGAATGGTTTATAGCTTCGGGGACGCGAATATGGTGTAATTCTAGACGCTTCGCGTATCCCCATCCCACCGTACCTGGACAGGCTACCGGCGCCTCGGTCGTACCCCCTCCTCCGCCCCCGCCGCCACGCCCTCCGCCCGCCTGGAGCCCGCCCATTCAGCAGCGAAGAGTTTTGTTTGCCGAAGACAGTGCGATGCCCTCTGAGGATGACGCGTTCTCTCCGACAAGCCCAGCTGCCCTGGACGAGTCGTTGGCCATGCAGGCGGCCGCCGAGGTCGTCAGTCTCTACTCGGTACCACTGGACTCCCCGCATTCCAGGGTCCACCCCAAGGCGGCGCTCTGGGAGCTGACTGGTGCCGTTCGTCTTCCCTCTCAATGGCCCTACTCTCTCCAGGATCGAGGACAGACGCTACGGATAATCGCCTGGGTGGAAAGCCAGGCCTCTGTCGAGACGGTGGACGACGGGAAAGGCTCCACGCGAGAGGATCTGGCCAGGAAAGGTAACTGTGCTCTCGGAGTTCGCATCACCAGGTTCGATGCCAGCACTGAGCTGGAGGACCTGGATACCTTCCGGCTACGGAATGCAATGAATCTACCTGACGGTAAAGAGCTCTTCTTGTTGGAGTGGCCCTCAATGTACAAGGTTGCATCCAGATCCCTGGAAGGTGACAAAGAGAGCAGGGAACTGTATATCTCCGTCACGGGCCCCACAGTAGACAAGATCGCAGACGTCACAGTTTGGTGGCCCCGTGCTCTGGGAGGCCCCATCCACCCTAGAGACGCCCAGGCGCTCGGTTTCAGCCCTTCCGCCAGGTACCCTTCCAACAGGTGCATTGTGGTCTACAATAGTGGGAAGGGAGGTCTGTTCCACGAAGACGAGACCAAGGCGACGCGCCCCCAAGCGATGATGCTCCCTGGTATCGCGTGGATGAAGCCCCTTCTGACATACAGTTCTGGCGGCAGTGCTGGGCGCTCGATCAGATCTACTACCTTCGGCAGAACCCAGCGGATCTGTTTGCCCACCAGCTGTCCCCTCTGACCTTTCTCTTGGCCTTCGTGCGCGCCCCACGGACCGAACGACTTGTGGCCAACGACCTGGGGCACACTTGTTCACTGGGGCTGAGCCTTAGGGCCAGGGCGGCCGCCACCCTGGGCCAGGACGTTCCCGACGCCGACCGCACGCAGGCTGTCCGAGGCGGCCTTCTACAGCAGGCGCCGCCACCCCCCCAGGGCTTGAGGGCTTTCTCCGACGAGGAGATCTCGGAGGCGACAGGCTCTGTCTTCCAGAGAGTGCGCCCTACTCCCAGCATGGGCACCCTCCGCGGCATTTTGGACAAGCATAAGCCGAACAGCGACGCGACCAGGGCCCTGCAGGCCACCTTGAGTCATCACGCCGTACTCGTGCACGGACCCCTTGGGACAGGCAAAACCACCTTCTCTGTAGCCTGCTTGGACATGTGGGGCTCCTGCCTACGCCCTGGACAGGCTGTCGCTTTGGCCGCAGGTTCCAACGCAGCGGTGGACCAACCACCTCTGGCAACGATTGAAGCACATCGGCAGCAACGGCTCGACCCAGACACGGGGTTCCCTGGAAATTTCGTGCGCTTGGCGAAGAAGGACCGTGTCAATGAGGCACTCGTTGACCTGGCGCCTGAAGGCCACTACAAGAACGCCCACGGAGAATTCCCGTTCCAGGACGGGGACAAGAGCCAGGACTTCAGGCCCTACAAGACGAGCCTACGACGGAATACCAGGGTAATCATGTCTACGCATGAGGCGGCCGAGGCCCTCGGACAAAAAGACAGCCCCCACATCGTCCTCCTGGTAATCGACGAGGCTGGACAGGCCACGGAGCTCCACGCACTCATGTCCATGGTAAATTTGGTCAACAGCGGCGGGGCCCTGGTCCTCGTGGGTTACCCGAATCAGTTGCCCCCTACGGTGCTCTCCAAGCTTGCGAACGACCTAGGGCTTTGTGTCAGCATTTTCGACAGGATATTTCACGCGCTCCGCGGCCAAGAATCGGCCGTGGTTCACCTTTCGATCTTATCGGATGCATCCGCAGCTGCTCGCCTTTCCGAACGCAGCCTACTAAGGAAAAGGCATGAAGTCAGGTATCTGGGATCCGCTCAGAGACAGGCCAATCGTCGGAGGCATCCCATGGAGAGACATTAGAACTTGGGAACCCGGGCGACTGACAGAGCTGGCGAAACTCACCGAGTCCGACGAGGGTGATCTCCGTGCAACCCTCGAGCAGCTAGATCCGCCGCCAAGCGCAGACAAGCATCGCTTCCTGCTGGTTCACGCACCCTCCTGGGAAGTCACTTCATACCTTCTACCAGGCTATGCCAACCTTCCGGAGGCCGCTCAGGCCGTGGACGTCGTGCCGGCACTTCTGCCCGAGCTCGATAGTGGCACCTCTGTCAGAATCGTGGTCGGATACCAGCTCCAGACGGCTATCCTCATGGATGGTTGGCCGCAGGGTCCCCGCCACCTTTCTGGCGCCCTGCGTAACGCTAAAGGAGGCAGGAAGGGGAAGACCGGCAAGGGGAAAGGCGGCTCTGGGCGCGACGGACAAGACACCCCCGGCCCTGGACAACCCCCTCAAGGCCACAGGGTGGACACTCAGCGTCGGTAATACGTCTTCCGAGAAGACCATAACGCCCACACAGCCATCGGCACTTCTTTCCCTGGACTACGGCAGATCGCGGGAGAGCACATGAAGAGCGGGGCGCTCAAACTCACCACAATCGACACCAGCCAGGGAGGAGAGGCGGACATCGGAATCGTGCTAACTACGCGGAGCGACGGGCACCACAACTGGGGTTTCGACGACGCCAAACGCCTGAACGTGGCGATCACCCGGGCCAAGCGGAATATCCTGATCTAGGGAGACGGGCGTATGTTTGCCAATGCCACCTGGTCCCAGCTACGCGTACTCTCATAATGCGGGCAACTGACTCGCCTTCGGGTCCGCTTTCGTGGCAGCGCCTCCTTGGGCCACCGGCGCTTCCTGGATATTGACGAGAGCTTTGACCCACTGCGCGACCTCGCCTCATGGATGCCCTCGCCCATCGCCTGGAGCTGCGACGCAAAGGGGGGGGGCGGGCAGAACGAGCTGGACGTTGCCAAGAAGAAAGCGCGCGACGCACAGGCCACCGGTTTCGCCGAGCGCTACAACACACCCCTGGACGAGCACTTCGACTGGGAAGCCCTGGGTGAGCTAATCTCGGGTGGGCTCCATGATATCCTCTCGACGCCTGCCTTCCACGTGCTCATTTACTTGATGTCCGGATTGCACCCGCGCGAGTTCTCACTGGCCACGACGCCGCGACAGCCGGGAAAGCTCGACCGCATGGCGCGGTCGCACTTGGGCTTCTTGTTCGACATGTCTCTGGGACTAGACGCAACCAGTCTAGTCTACAACATGCTGTGGGCGGCAATGGTGTGGGCGCTCGGCCTGGGCACCCCCTGGCAAGACGCGAGCTACGCAGTCCCTGACGATTCCCTTCCACCGTTGCCTCACACCAGTGGCAGGCGAGTAACGCTCTGGAAGCGTCGCCAGTGCACCCCCAAGGGGCTCTTCCAAGGCGTGGAGCACCGCCACCAAGGACTGCTGCAGACACAGGAAGCACCCTGGAATGGCAGGGTTGGAAGAGATCCTCCGAGGCGCGCTGGGCGGCTCTATGAGGGACGAGTTCCGTAAGGGAATCATAGACACCGACGGATTCCCCATGGAATCTTGCAAGGCCCGGTCACTCCTGGTCGTCATGATGCTCATGCTCCGCGAGCCGCGCGTGTTTCTGTGGCCCTTCTCTCGCGCAGAGCAGGCTGGGGACGTCATCGAAGCCATCTTGGGTTTCTGTGTCCCCTGGCAAGAGGTTCACCAGAGTTTCCGATACCAATTCGCCCGAACCTGGAGCCTCACGCTGGACGACCTTGCCGACCTACACGGACGCATCGAGGCAGTCCTGCCCCACATCTCCAAGCTCGTGGCGGTAGCGCACCACCACCCGATTGCGCAGGCAGCCGGCTGCCCGCAGACCTGGAGTGAAATGGGCAGGCAGGACTTTCAGTTGAAAGCGCCAATGCTCGTCCTCGAAAAGATCGTCCCGGCCGCAACTCTGACCTCCCTGGATACGCGCAGCTGCTCAGTGTGTGC